GTGTTTACTTGGGTGGGTTTCCACCCCAGGGGAGGACATCCATCACACAGTAATCTCGTGCGTGGGAAATTAACGTCTCTTACCCCAACCTTGCAGGAGATGGGACCTCCATTCATTCGTCCCTATCCGAGAAGACTAGAATATCTAACCATTTCTTGATGTTATAGAAAGGTAGAAAATTCTTTTCAATTATTTTAAGACCCTAGGTGTTGGTCCGGCCGGGGCTCGAACCCTCGACCTCCCGCACAACAGTCCAACGGTCTATCCCTTTCTCGAACCCTGGACCTCCTGCACAACAGTCCAGCGGTCTATTCCTTTCTCGTTTTCTTACAATTATCACCAGTCCCCGAGCTACACATTTCCTAAGGTGCTGACAAGGAGAAGTTTTGTAACAATCAAGAGCTTCTTTGGTTGGTGATCATTTCCCCTATTCTCGTGACCTTAATGATTGATTTAAGGGTGTTATTGTAAGGAGAAATTAGATGCTGGTCATTCTTAGATGTTGAAGGGTTAAGGAGACAAAAACAACTTCAACGAAAAGTCATTCATTGAAATTCACTGCGGTATTGATACCATAATCATCCAGCGTCCCGTGTAGCCCCATAAATTCCAAAATCTAACTTGAGGCTCTTCTTGTGTTTTCTTCTTCCTCAGGCGATAATGAACTACTTTTGGTTTAAGAAAAACCTGCAGACAGCCATTACAATGCCGCGTGTACACGAACAGCTTTATCCTAATTTTGTTTTCGCTGAGACTAGGTTTCCAACAGAGGTCGTCAACGGTCTTATTTCCTTGGGACATAAGGTTTGTAGATACATGTACATTGCAAAAAGTGTGTTCGATGGTTACCGTATTTTAGGCTTGGTAGGTTCGTGCACTGCAGCTGTCTAATTTTCAATTGAGCGTCGAAAGTAATTGCTCTGGTTTTGGTTTGCTTCGCTCTGTGATGGGTCCAGAAAACTAGCGCCACTTTCTCAACCAGTCAGATGCAAAACTAAAACCAGTCCCAACTCGGTCATTCCTGTTTTCCCGCGCTTCAGGCAGTTTGGTTGGTTTTACGTGGAATTATTCTGAACGGAATTTTTCTTTCATGTGGTTGGCCGTTGTGGTTTTGCGACACTCATTCAAAAGGCGCTCTAACTGTTGCACTCGCATAGCGTTTTCAACGACGATCATTTGAAAAAGAACAAAGAACTGCTTATATCAAGACAGTTGTCACATAGCGGGAGCTTTGTAGATGCCAACGCCATTATGATTTTCCCCTTATCAGTTGTTAGAATATCTAACAGATATACGCCGGGAACATCTTTAATTTCTGGTTCGGTTCACATCGAGGGCTCAGACTCTTCTTTCCTTATTTGATGCCAACAAAAACTGAATCTGGACATATTCTTTTATGATGAATGTTACCAGAGAAGAAAGTTAGCTATTGTATTTGTACTTTAATTAAAACTTACAAGGAGCAAGCAGGGCTGGCTAATGTTAAGATGAATACAATACACTTCAGTCTCTTTAACACTAGCCTGCAGAACAGGCGTTCTTGTGGAGTTTGGGCGAAAATTAAGACTTTGGGCTTTCTGTTTTATTTTCCAGAGCGCGCGTAAAATGGAGCGAGGCGAACAATTAGAAGGTGGGGGGAGGGGGAGAGGAGAGAAGGGAACGCCTGCCAGCAGCACTTGAAAGTTTGAAAAACGCCCTCTAATTAGATATGCACGAGTAACGATAATGCGCACACAATTGGCCAATCAGGTGGCGCGACGGAAGTGGATTTTCACTTCCGTTGCTTGTCAAAATTTGTTGTTTTTCGAAGGGAAATCACATGTGTCAATTTTTGTGTTCACATGTCGCCGAACGAGAATTGTCGATTTTGCGGCTGTGGTTTTAAAGTTAAATACGGCTCATACCTGTAATCAGAAAATTTATTCAGAACATCGAAGAGAAGTGATGCTTATGGAGTAATTTTATCAGACGTGTGTGCTGGAATTGGCATCGAACTCATTCAAAACAACGAACAGTTATCCGATCGCTGTCGCAATCCGTGTGCTAGGAAAGTCAGAAACTTGGGACAGCTACATGCATTCACCTTAAGAACGCAAATTACCAATGCAAAAATCCAGAAAAGCCCAAAAGTGCAAATAAGCGGCAATTAGATACGCCAAACAAATCTAGCCCGGCATGGAGGAAGAATAAAGCCGCTCGTATGTGCAAACCACCTACACCGAAATCAAGAAAATGCTCAAATATGAGCGAGAATATCGATCCAGCTTCATCGAAGAGAAAGACTTGTTGCTTTTAAGCCAACTTCTTGAGCCTCGACAACCTGGTCGTCAACGATGCTTTTCAAAGGGCAAACGACAACCAAGCAACAGTGTTTCTTCGTGAGAAGCTGCTTGACTCGCACACCAAATCTAAAAATAATGCTTTTACCGAAGCCTGTCGGTAAGACCGCCAACACATCTTTATTTCTGGATCTATCTCTTTTCTGGATATATCTCTTCTTCGCTAAACGCCACATTGGATGTGATACATAACAAACTGACGTCACATTCTGCTGTCAATAAAAAATACTGGACCAATCAGAATCG